CATACGCTTACAGAGTTTCGCTGGGCAGAGGAATATGACCTCCATTTCCATTCTGGCATCAGTACAGATGTACAAGTTTGGAGATTTGCATAGATACAGATTTAAGTGCTCTGTAAGCAAAGGTGTAGTTCCTAGTTTGGTTAAAAAAGCCTTGTGTCTTCAGAGCAGGGGGACCCACCTATCAGGAAATTCATTATGATAAAATCTCACCGTCCAAAATCAAAAAACTCCATCTCTCATTTTCACCCATCTCACCAGTCTCCATTGCACAACAGTACCTGCCAGACTGCTGTACTACATTTTCAAGTTGCTTTGCAATTGCTGCCCAGTACTGTACCTCTATGCCTTATGAACATCCAAATCCACCACTTCATTCACAAGAAGCTTGAGAAGCTTTGATGCTTTTTAGTTTAGTTTAGTTTTGTCTTTTAAACTAAAAAATGATAACTACAGTATAATGTGAGGAAGCACATTGTATTTCAGCCAGAACATGACTATGGGAGACAGGCACCCGTACATTGCTGTCCTTGAGAGAAATTTAAGATGTATATGACTAAGTCATAATTTTTTATGGGCTTAACTTTCACGAGCCTTCCAGTGAGAATATTCTATACACCTACCCCGCACTCGCAGTCTGCAAAGAAAAGTTGTGAGATTCTGGGTGGGCCTACTGAAAATGTAATTATCACCATTGAGCCCATCTTTTAGAGCACCTAGTTCCCCACAGACTTTTAAGAAAACTAAGCTTAACAACATCCAAACAGTGCCAGGTAGCAATTGTCTTCCTCTACTTCCTGTAAAAAAAATCAGAAATGTAATTTTTTTTAACCAAGGACATTAGTTAAAAGTAATTTTTTAGCAAAAGAAAAAATTCTTTTATAACTCCGGAAACAAGCACAAATTGAAAAGGAGGAAATAAGGGGCTATATTACCATAGTACCACCTGACATTACGCACACTCTCCCATGCATGTTTTGCAACTGTGTAGACACAGCTGTTCTAAACTGCGATGTGATCGGCTGCAGCTATTTTGAATTTGCCTCTGTTCTCCTTTTGATCAAGACTTAATTATTGCATTTTTTAAATATTCAACCTTCCTGAATGAATTTGAGGAAAAACAGGGGAGTACTTGTGTGTTCTGAGAGAAGCAATGGGAAGACTGCATGGAGGAACTGTTAATGAACACCATTAACATTTCTTATCACCTGATATGTTCATGATAGCTACCTAGATCCCAAAGCAACACTAATCTCTGAGCAGTAGTGCTTCTTTACTTATCTTGGCAGTTAGACTTCAGTTCCTATAAAACTAGTTGACAGCCTTGCTGAATAATCTAAGGAGGAAGGTCCAAGGGTTGTTTGAACTGGACTGGGAACTTAAACATACTGACTGCCAGAAGGAATGCCTCAACTTAGAAACACAAGTCAATCTTCAGTTAGTAAAACAGCATTTAGAGCTCTCAATATCACAGCTCTTGTGGGCTTTCTACTCTGCTTGAGCAAGTAGTTTCATTACACTTTTTGTCAAAGTAACCTTTTATTTATTCATTGGTTTGTTTTAAGTTTCAGGGCAGCTTGTCTACCAAAGCTGAATTAGCAAATCATCAGAAGTAGAATATATTGCTTTCACACTTACCCGTGCTTTAGCTTTCCTTGTATCAGTATCAAATGGAATCAGTTCCCAAATCTGATCTGGTTTGCTGCACATGCTTTACTGCACGTGCTTTTGACATGAGTATTCAGTAGTTTTATGCTCTCCTGACACATATTAGCCAATGACCTCAATATTTAAAATGAGGCTATGAGTACCTTTGCTGTTGCGACGAAGAAATGAGTTTAAACCATAAGAACTCACTGCCGCATCACATCAGATCAGCCACCTCCTTACCCAGCTTGAAAAGTAGGCCAAAGACATTCATGTCTTTCCAGGCCCAGCAGAGGAGCTAAATGAGCTTTGAAAACTATTGCTATTTTTACAGGCTTGCTGTGAAAAGGTACACTTATAAGGGATCATTGTGCAATATAGTTCTTGCCAGAGGAAAATGACCTGCTGTGAACAGGCCCTGGTTCTGGGTAAAGTGCAAGAATAGATCTAATTAATGAAGGAGGTTGTAATTTTGCCAAGATTTTTTCTCACATTCAGTATTTAAAAGAAAAACAAACTGACCTCTCGGGTCAGACAGAAAGAAAGAAATTCCAGGAACTGGGTCCAGTGGAATTGTACTAGATTGCAAACATAACTGTGAACTAGTACTCCAGTGAATCCCTTATATTCAAAAAGTTAATAAGTGTCAAATCATAGAGATTATGGCAAACAACAGATTTGCACCAAGATTTCTAAGTTATTATAGCCAATTTTGACAAGCACACTGTTAGATATTTAACAGATATTCTCCCTAACTTTTCCCTTTGAGGTTTTATGCGCAACTTCTGACATTTCCCATCCCTTCAAATGAAGCTTTTCAAATATTTTTGCTCCATTTTCTTGCAAGAAGGACCTAAGCAGCAGCACACTGCTAATAAGCGCATTAACTGACTTGTAGAGGGAACGCATTCCTCCTCTTTCTTGATGCTTGTAAAGCTGGCTGATTTACCCACTGTTGCCTACCTCAACAGAAAAAGCAAATAGTGGAAGAGTAATTTCAGCTTATCATCTCCCCTTAAGATGTAGCTTTCTGAGCAGCGTGACCTTGCGTACACCACCATATGTACTAGGGTACAGAGAGAAACTGAAGGGCAGAGTGTCAAGATCATCTCTGATGTCTCTTTATTTTGAGGGTTTAGGTCAAACTCCATCACTGAAACTTACATTTTTAACAGGATTTTGCATCTTTAGCATAGTAAATGGTGACAGTATCCTTCAATACAGAGTAAGAGATTAATGTACAGCTATGCAGGAATAATAGCATTAAATACTGCTGTCTGGTGCAAGCCCTGTATCCCTCCCCCAGTAAAACCCCTCTAGTAATATACATCCTGCCTGTGCCTGATCACATTTGTCATTTGAAGTATTGCTTCAGGGGGGCTTTGAGCCATTTAAGGGTCATCTGTAGACAGAAAAGGAAAGATATAAAAACAGTAGTTATCCATTCTATCAGTAGATTTCATTGTTCAATTTTGCTGCTCTCCTAGTCACGAAACTCAAGCAGCATGTATAAATTGCCATCATTCAGAGAATTCTTTTCAGTGAAGTAACACCTGCATAATTCAGAACTACCTGTTAGCTGGTCTTGAGAAATTACAGTTAAATGTGGACTGAATTGTGAAGATGTAGCTTGTACTTTGCAAAACTGTATTTTAATCAGCGAGAGTCCATAAACTGTACACACGCAGGAGGAGGTATGGAACAAATTAATGCTCAGAATTTTGAATGAAATAAAACAGCTGTGAGACCAAAACTTCATTTTTTCCCCTCAGGGAGTACATATTTTTACTTTAAGCATATTTCTACCGGTTTACTTGCAAATATTCAGATAAAAAAAAAAAAGGCATCTAAATGCAGTTGTATTCCCAGAATTTCAATTTGCTGAGTGTATGCAGATAAATGATGAATATCAAAGAAGTATAAACTGGAGCTGTTTCAGAAAGCAAGAAGGAACAATATACTATAGCACCCTCTGAAATTGTTCTCTCCTTCTCCTGTCCACCTTTTGCTGATTTCCCTGCTTCCAGTTCTTTATACTCATTGTTCATTGCCCTTTTAATAATGCTTATTTGAAATTTCATCTTTCCTTCCCTAAAGAAAATATTCACAGGGCCTCCATTAAGTCTTTTATTACTCTTTTTCAATCTTTGGCCTTGTTGCCACTCTCACAATTTATGCCAGTTTCATGTACAAATGCAGTGGCTCTAGCCAAAAGTGACCCTGCATGAATAAATTCATCATGACCTGTTGTACTGAAGAGCTGAACGCTCACCTCCGCTAACACAATAAACCCTTCTTCTGTTGCAGACGTCATCTTGTTAGCCTGGGCTCTATGTCTTTTCTTCAATCCCACTTCCTGCTGCTCAGTAGCCAAAGCATCAGTATTAAGTAAAAGCATTTCACAGTCTTCTCTGTAAATCTCTTGTTCCCACAAGACTAAAATCTGATGAAAAAAGACCCATCATCCACTGAACAGCAGACCACCTAAAAGGAGTGCCTCTTTGATTCTGCAGTACAGGTTATTTATTTACCTTCTCTCTTTCCAGCTGGAATTCAAGAGAGTGTTAGGCATTCAAGAGCTTATATGTAAGTGACTTCTGAAAGACTTCCAATCTTAAGTGTTTAAACCACTTTAAAACAAGGACTTCAGGAGGCCAATCTTATGGACATTTCTGAAAATATGATTCTATATTTATTTTGTTCTCTCATCTGTTTCTGAAGACTCTTATTTTTTTTTTTAGAGTGTTACCATGTCTATGCACTCTCCCTGTGAATAGGTTATCTTTTTTCTGCAATGGTTTCATGTTTCCTTACTGTTCTTTTATATTTTTATTATTTTCCCACGTGACTCCTCTTTACGACAAGGCATTCTTTGCCCTTGCCTGTGGTGATGCTGCTGTGTACTTCTCATTCCATGCATGTTTGCCATTTACTCCATATATCTAGTAAGAAACAGATTTTTTGATGCTGTTGCCTGCATGCTGCCATATGTGGGGATGAAGGAAGAAAATGAGGTAGATGGAAGACATGCATGGACTTTTTCACAGGTTCTGAGAGCACAGAATTCCTTGGAGCTCCATGAATTAAAAATCTTATGCCCTGGATTTGCATCCATGTGAATGAATTGTTAGTATCTCAAAATTTGGAAGACAGATGATCTTTAGCATTGTTAAAATACATCATTTTTCATTGCCAATTAAAATCATTTCTACGAATTATATTTGAAAAGAGTTAAGCATGTGTATTTCAATACAACAAACTATTTAAACATTTGTTTGAAGTATTTTGCTGGATGAAGGCTATTTGTGCAAAAGTTTTCATATTCTTATGAACTGAAAACTAAAAGTCAAATACAAGAATTCTCACTATTTGGAAAAAATATTTATTAAACATTTACAATATTCAACAGCAGAAAAGTCAAGTGATGTGCACGCAATTATAAAATGTCTTCAGAGTGTTATGGCAGGAATCTCAGATGAGAGACATGGTGAAACCAATTACATTTATATTGAAGTTCAAAACATATACTTTTATCCATTATTTCTTCAAAGTCTTAATCAGAAAAAGGTACATTATCAATGTCTGCTATCACAGTTAAAAAAAATTAAAATATTTCCCTCCAATGATTTAATACACTATATCTCCAGTGTCTTCAGTTTTAGAATATCCAATCAATAAGTTATTTTCGTTATTCACTGTTTTTCTCTCATGTAGTTATTCAGATTCAGGTAAGCTTTCATAAGCAAATACTGCTCTTTCATAAACTGCTTGTTCCATTCTGAAGTTGAGTTTTTCCCTGCTTTGGAAAGGTAATATCCACTAACCACATTTAATATTGGTTCTCCCTATACACTGATCAATAAAGAACATAATCTCCAGGTTTATGACATTTACAGCCAGTGCAAATTTTTACACTATCAGAAAATTATCTGCAGATTTAGATGAATTTTTAAATGACCAGTTGCATAATCTACCGTACAACTCTGAAAAATTAAAAAAAGAAAATGTCATCTACTATCAAAATAATAATCTACTCACAAGTATTTACATCTTGCTTCTGAACTCCCTTAAAAAACAGCTGCTGAAAATATTAATTGTTTTTGCTCTTATAGGAGGCATTTGACTCGACAGGAATTTCTGCATTAATTATCATTAGAGAAACACGTCTTGAATTTGTGTAAAATACTTCTGAATGCAAAGTGAAACCACATAGTATTATTTTCTAGTAGTATCTTCAAGCCATGATATCACTAGATTAGTCTGCTGTCTCCAAATTTAGCAACGTAATCTGATTATGCAAGACACAAAACATAGATCTAGGGAGTATAATCTGACAGTAAATTTAGACAAATATATCAGAGTCTTTGAAAACACAGACCCAGTTAATAAGCATGCTAACAGTCTTTGGTCCCTTTTAGGGCCACTTTAACATCCCTAAAAATGGACAACAGCCCTCTCAAACTGGCTGAGAACAGTAATGTGTTTATGCAAAGCACTGTGAGAGAAGAGAAGTTTACTGAAGCTCTTTCTCCCATCTCTGCTGAAATCATTTATTTTCACACAGAAATGAACAAAGCAAGAACATTCTGACCACAGAGTCAGTGTAGAGTCACCTCATCACCAGTTTGGAGTAACCTGGATAACAGCTGGATATTAGACTACTTCCATCAGCCTGAGCCAAGCAGCTTCCAATGAAAAGCTGAGCACTTCCACTTGCACTCAGCTCACAAGCCTGCACGTCAGGCAAGTAGTAAACACATTGAAGCGTAATTTCTTTTCATTTTAATATACAAACAAAAACTTCATATATACAGGTTGAATTCTGAAAACGGGACACACTTTTTTAATGCAGATCCAACAGAAATTGGACCATTACTGGATTACTTATTAGCAAGACATCACTATACAACATCTTCAGCAATCGTAGTGTCAAAAATTTGGTAATAAACTTGATGTTTCGTTCCATCCGTGATGTTATAGGACTTGATAAAGCATTCCAGCCATGGTAAGTCATCTATAAACCAAAACCAAGTTATTTTTTTATACTCATTTCTAACTGCTACAGGACAGAAGTAGAACATTAGCAGGCTCTTAGCTAGGTAATCTAAACATACACAACAGTTAACTGGAAAAAACAAAAGAATTACTCATTTTGAAGTTAAAATTCACAATTAGCATTCCAATTCGTATTTTAAAGGTTCCTGCACCATTTGAAATTGCATTTAGTGACAATTAACTTTCCCAAAAGCCCCAAAGCTTGGTACCAGTAGCTGTTTTGCAATATAGCATATATGAAGACTTTCTAATAATAAAACTGGTCTCAACAACATGCTCATGTGTTATATGTGTATTGTGTAAATCCCACAAACCTGCTTGTTCAGGCACACTCTGCATTTACTTAATCCTGAGTGTGTTCCCCTAATACTACCTTCAGAAAGATATAGAAAATATTCACCTCAAAGAGTAAAGCTTTTCAATGGCTTTTTGTGTTTCCAAAAGCATGTGTCCTACATCGAGCTATAAGTGGCTAAAATCATTAAAGAGGTTATGGTGGATCTCAAAATATCCTGTCATTTATCAAATGGGGAAAATTGGCTCTAATTATTAGATAGTAACAACAACAAAAACACCTCTCAGATGTTCCCCCCAGAACACTGTATTGTACAGCTTGCACCTGGAAGGGAAGAAGCATTCTTTGCAGACATACAAATATCAATATTAAAATAAAGTAATCCTGCATACTAATGGAACCGAGCTGACTATGGGAAACCCCCATACCATGCCGTTACGGTGGCTGCTGGGCTTTCGATCGTCAGAGCTGTTCGTGATTTTGGAATATCAAAAATTTACTTTCTTTTTGTTTTTTTTTTTTTAAAGAATCTTCTGACTGTTTGTCAAATACACTTTCTGTACAACTTTTATCTTACTCATACATTCTTCTTTCTCTGCTTAATCCCATAATGGAACTATTATGCTGTATTTGTGACAGTATATTTATTTCCAATGTAGTAAAATATCACAAACAGGGAGACAGAAGTTCAGGGCAAGAACATGGTTTCCTCTCACTTATTTCCTTATAAGAAGTCCTCCCTGAACACTTTTAACACAAGAAGTATGGATGGACAGGTAAGACCACTCAACCTGTTGTGTTCTTTGTTCCATATAATTACTTCTTTCAAGGCTACAGAAGCGACCCTCCGTCCTTTCTCATAGAAGTTCTTTTAAGTTTTTTTCACTATTGTTTGCTCCTTGCAATATTGATGGGAGTCCTACTGTAGCTCATAGCTGATCACTGATGGATTTGTTTAATTATTTATTTTACCATGAAGCGCAGCAGATCTAAGTAATGGAGCCAAAAAGATATCTCTTAAGTAGCATATATGAGAGAACTCGTACTACGGAACTACTGATGATTAACTACTGGTAGTTTTATGGTGACAGATCAAGTAAAACGTTCGTGCTGGTGTCCCCTCACTGGAGATTTCCAAACTTTTCCAACGAAAAAAACTCAGATTTTAAATGCTGCTATTCTATCTCTGCTCACTTTTGCCAGAGGGTTTACTAACATTGTCTTGGAAGTATGGACGGACAACTGTGTTTATTATGTGAAAATTTTATATTAGTAACACTTGCACTACCTCAAGTTCAGCCGCAGTACTTCTGGGAAACTGCATTGTGACAAGCCTCAGAATGCTTAGACATGGACTAAAATAAAAGTGCTTGGAGGCAAAACAAAAGGTAACAATGAAAGAATGATCCTGTTGGCTTTTCCACCCTTATACCTCCCAGAACTGCCCCCACCCCCCCCCCCCCCAAGGAAACAATTTAGACGACTTCTGCTTTCTAACTCTAAAGAAGTGCAAGGTTCTGATTAAGCCAAATCCATTTAGCATCAACTGTAAACAAGGAAGGCAAAAAATGAGCTACAATCAAGAACCAGGTCAAATTCTGCCCTTCAGTGAATTCTCCCTGAGCTCCAGCTGACTGCAGTGAAGGCTGAATGTTGGGAGAACATGAGGGAGAGAGGAAGAACTGATAAACAAAGATCTATTATCTGTTTCATGGGCTACTTTTTGAAGGCAGGGTAAAGACTCTGGTGTGGGTGGGTCACTGACAGCCACGTACTTTGAGAGAGTATGTGCCTGAAGTCACATCTATGGCAGAAACATACAGATAATCCTGGAGGTGTGTGGTGTGGGTAGAGCTACTTTCTACCATAGCAGAAATACTGCAGGAAAACCTTTGTAATTGGAGAGTGGAAACTTTTTGTCCAATTTCCACAGATGTTTCCTGTTGCAAGGGATGCTCTAAATTGGCATTGTGCACTGAACAGCAGAATTCCCAGAACATGTGGTATAAGCTGAATTACTTTTCAGTTTTCGTTAGCGGGCTGTGACATTCAGTACAGAGGTGTTCTGGTTAACTTCCATATGAATACAAATGACATGTTCATGCCTGCCTAGACGTGAATGTATTCACACATCACTGCATGCTACATGTGAATTTACTGAATCATTACTTTTCTTTCTCAAAAGGGACTTTTACTATTACAGAAACGTATGAAAACTAAGTAATCAGAACTCACCTTATGGACTGCTGCATTTCTTACTTCTGAGTTTTGCCCATGCATAAACCGAATTCTAAGACATTGCATATGTAATAGATCGAAGGTCCCATTCCCTTCCCATCCCTCTTTAAAATAATAGTAAGCTAACCTAGTTTTCTTCCTGGAGGGCAGAGTGTATTCATTGTCATCTGCATCTTTTGCTGAAGAAAATTATTAGTTAAGATTTCAGAAGCAGGAATTTGGAAAAACTTTTCCTGGAAGAGAACAGAAAAATCTGAGGTGTTAGAGGAAGGGTAAGAAATCATTAGCCAGAACCCTGAATGCATATTCTCTTTCCATTTAAGGAACTTAAAATTATCCAGGTATTTAACACAACAAAACAGAAATAAGATTTTAAAAACTATTAAGATACCAAAATAAGACCTGTCTGAATAAATTAATAGTCTGTATTTCAGTATCCGTGAGTATTCAGGGAATAGAGCCAACCTGAAAGCACAGTATGCTACTAAAACACCTACACACATAGTTCTGTATATGTCACATAGATATTCTTCATAAACCTCCACAGTCAGACAGTGTTATGGTGGAAGAGAATTGGTCCATCCTCCTGAGCAGTCCCTTGCTGGGGTGAACAGAACACTCGAGGAACAAAGTCATTCAATAACACGGGGGCACTCGAACCTGGCTTCATACAAGTGAACTCCTTTAGTTTTTCTTTTTTTTGGTTGCTTTAGAAACTACGGAGAAAGGCTCATACTGTGAAATACACTTCTGAATGGAAGAGTAAAATAAAGGACAGCACAAGGAAATGTTATATACGCTTTTCTGTGTATTTTAAACCTATATATAGTAATGTGACTGATAAAACTCCCATTTTATTTTCTCCAAGTTTGTTAGCTAATTTTGAGTTTCTCAAGTCTAACTGTCTTATTTCCCAAACTGAGCTCAGTCTCTCAACATTACTACATTAAACAGCTAAATTATAGTTTTTTATGGCAATTTTTCCTTTTTGTTAAAAGATATGAATACAGAATAATATGCCTTTTATATAATTTTCGTATGAGACATTTAATGGAAGTGATCAGAAGTTAGTAGAGAGCAAAATGGACACAGATAACTAATTTTTCTTCTTACTTCTCGAATTCTTCATCCATTTCTAACTATATAACTTCAATTTTTTTTCCTTCAATGACTACATAAAGAAATGAAAGAAAAGAACTGAGAGGTCTCCTATAAAAGTGTGACTGGAAGACAGAGTAAGGTTACACTTCAAAGCACCCCACTTCCTTCTTGGGTGGTGCAAAAGAACCTGAGCTTAGACTTGGAAAGCATTGACTTGTCTTTGAAGTACCATCAGGAGGAATGCTGGCCACTGGCACTTCAGAAGAAATTGTTTTTTCTTTTTCCTGAAGCTCAGCTGTAGCACTGAGTAGTACCTGGTAAGAATCTGGGCTACTCTGAAGTACAGATTTCTGGAATTCTGAATCACGAGATGGTTAACATCTTTTCCATCACCTCCCTTTTGAGGTTTAGTTTCTCTAAATCAAAAGGAAAAGGTATAGCAGAAGAAAACGACGACTAGCTGAAGTAGGGATCATAGTCTTAGATCTCCTTTGCTGCTAATACACTGTGGTATTTTAAGAAAAAAAACTTTTATATTTTCCATTATTATTGTTATTTAAAGTGTTAAAACTAAAACTAGGAAAAACATTCCTTTTTTTTTTTCATTCAAAGTCATTTAATATAATGGTGAAAACATGCAGATATATACACATTAAACAGTACTGGTGCAGGGGAAAAAAATTCCACAAAATTGTTACTCTGTCCCATTCTGGAGAAAGTTACAACTGTAAAGTGCCACTACTCTGGTTAATTTCCCCTTGGGTAGGTGTATTATTCCAAATATAGGTTCTGAGATTCTGATATTCCCAGCTGTATTGCTGGAACAAGAAAACATAACAAACATACTTATATAATGACAAAGTTGCAACACAAAACTAATTTATTTTAGATTATAATTCTGTTTACCACTCTTCTCACCTTGATTGTTTTTCCTTTTCAACATGGTCAATGTACCAGCTCAAAAATTAGGCTAATAACTGAAATGTGTGAGTGCGTGTGTGCGTGTAAAAACCCAACAAAGGACATACCATATTTCTGCATACAAAAATATGTTTGAAGGAGCAAAAGAATGAAGCAAAGGAGCAAAGGATATAGGAGCAAAGTTATCTTTCCCACTGACATGTGGAAGACCTTATTCCCATACAAAGTTATAAAAACATTTGATGTTATGTACATTTGAAGATATACACACACATATATAAATAACAGTACTTTACATTTACATTACACTTTACATTCATTTAATCATGCTCAGCTACCCATAATATATGACATTATTCATCTTTGTAGTCAGGAGACTAAAGAAATTGAGCCAGAGATCAACCTGCATGTAAAAGGTCAGAAAGAGTAAATCTGTAACCACACACTAAAATCTGTAATGGAATTAGGAAGGAGAGTAAACTCTTTAAGGCTGATGCTAGCTAGACGAATATAACTCATCTTTTGCCCCAGTCTGGATATGTAGGAAGCAATGATCACCTCCTGTCAGTCAGTAATCCTCCACACTCAACATTACAAAAATTCTTATAGAAATCGTCTTTGTGCACCAGATTGCTAATCTAATAAGAAAGTTTATAAACTAGGGTGAAAGGAGAGAAAAAATAAAAAAAATGAAATAGAAACAAAGAGTAGTTATCACTAGTTTACTGATAAATTGGGAGAATGCCCAAAAGGGATTATGCAGGGGACTGCAGACTATTCTAGGTCTGGTGCTTTTCAGGATTTTCATTAGCGACACGTCTAATGGAATAGTGAATAGGCCCACTACGTTTATAGACAAAACAAAGCTTAGAGAATTTCATGTATACCAGAGGAAAGAATTAGAATTGAAGACTTTGACAAACTGGAGAGGTGTTATGACCAAAAAAAAAAAGACTGTTTTCCACTGGACACCTGTATAAGATACTGCATTTAAGTGCCGTATCTCTGCACTTCACATTCAACTGCTCAGATAAAGAATGAGGAAGAATTTCTCAAAGTCAAGGTTTTGAGAGATGAAGGGGTTATACCAAATATGAAACAGTAAGCAAAAAACTAAATCAGCACCATACTGAGTTATAGACATGGAAGTGTTATTTGGCTGGGCCTTTCAAGGAGGAGGGGAACCGTCTTGGGAGAACCCAGAACAACAGTGAGGATGACTTGAGTTTACAAAATATTGTTCATGAAAGAAGATGGAAAGAATTGTGGGTTGTTTAGTCTTAACAGGAGAAGATTATTACTATACAGTGTGCAGTGACAGGCAAATCATCTGTTCTTCAGTGTCTCAGATAGTAGGAATGGTCTTAGTTGTTTCAGGGAAGACTGAGGATAGGTTAATTATAAGGGTTGCAAAGTAATGCAATAAACTACTTTTCAAATCGAAGACAAGTATTTGTATAACTGTACATCCTGCTTAGGATCAAGGGAAAGGAGGCTCTTAGGCTCTTCTACCCCAATGATCCTATGAAACAGAAAGCATGAACTACTGAATGGATACCTAAAACTAGAATTTATAAGCTGAGAGAGAAGTCATGAGATTTTGAACTAATCCAGAAGTTACCCTCATAAATTCTGAAATGCTCCCATCATTCACACATCATTCAGGTTGCATAATTTAACCACAACTAATAAAGAGAAAACAACACAACATTGTAACACTGTTACATCTGCCCCTATAAAAACATAGTAAGTAACAGAGATTGAATACTTCTGTAGATGTTTCCTCTTTTAAAAAACAAATAAAACTCAAACCTATATAATTCATATAGTCTCCCTTTATCTAGTTTACTTACATAATCAAAAAGGTATGCATTTAGTGCTCCTGTTCCATCAACTAGTGTAAACTTCATAATAAAAACATACTGGAGTGGCACAATACCTAAAACTGAAGAAAAAAGATCTGCTTCATATAGTGAATATGCACAACTAACTGTAACAACTCAAACTGACAATATCCCTCCTATAATGGTAACTTACTTTAAACCTTGTAATTGAAAGTATAAATTAAAAGGCCAAAACAAGAGGATCTAAACATCAAAATGAGGTTCATATTTTGAGCACACATTGCAATTTGCCTAGAAACACTTTTTTTTTTTTAAACTGATGAGACTATGAAAATACAGAAAGATTTTTTAAGTGCCCATTTTCATCCTTGTAAAAGAAATGCTAATGTTTGCTTAAACCCTATCCTTTTGACAGAAATCTGTTCCTGGTGTCTTATCCATGGACACTTGCCCTGTGTTAAAGGACACTTGCCCTTAATGCTGTGATAATAAAATAGCATTCCATCTGAAATATATATTGTGAAGAAAATAAATCGTTTCATATGATGTAGTAAAATCTACCAAGCAAAGCTTTACCCAGAAAACAAAGATTTTTGCTGTCTCTGAAAATAATCCATCATAAATACCTGACCACATTCATTCTGTCACTGGTAGCAGTACCTGTCATCCAGCAAACAAAAGTTCTTAAAGATATAAAGTTACTAAGACCCTGCATAAATCTTTTCTCGCTATGTTTATTTGAATTTGCTTATCATTTTATTCAGCTATTCTGACATACTTGCAGATTTCCATTTATTTTGAAAATACAGATCATAAAAGAATAATACACATAAACTAATTTTCATGTCAGAAAGCATTGATTAATGTTTTCTTTTGAAGGTTAAATGCCAAATGTAGGCACAGCAACACCGTCAGTTATACATTCTGCTACATTTATTAACAAAATTATGGCAGTTAAAGAGAATCATTGTATTACTTGAATAGTTTATTTTATAAAGTCATTACCAAGCCTAGATACTACTAGATATTCCAACATGTTATATTAGAACATGAATTGATAAATATGATGGTATTCAGTAATTTTCTTCCTTAATAGGTAGACTAGTACCAAAGTTTTAAGATCCATTTTCCCTCCATCAACTGAACGCACACACTAAATATAGCAACACAGGGAACGCACAAAGTAAAACCTTGGCATAATCCCTTTTATTTGAATATTACTTCTTTCAGATTCGTTGCAATATGCTTTGTATTGATAAGGCTTACAGAAGATAAAAGTCTAAGTAATATTCATGGTTAAATAAGATTCTCTTTACTTCAAGTTTTAAAAACTGTCTTCAAAGAGAAAGGCATGGCTCTTCTCGTGCTGCATCTGTTTACACAGTTTAGAAGTGACATCTGTATTGATACAACAAAAGATTAATTACATCTGTGCTATGGTAAGTGCTACTAGTGACACCTACTGAAAAAGAAATTTTTTACACTTACAGTATTTTAATTCACACTATAATGATTTCAAAAGTAATTATGTAATTTCAACCTGCAAAAGGTTACATTTTACAGCTTCATATTCCATTATAACTGAACTTAAATGCATTCAGTACAAAATTGCAGCCCAGAAATCAAACTATTTTGTATATACACATAAGAATCAAGGCACAAAAATATTTCGGGACACAACCCTGTCAGCTAACCTTGTGCTATTTCAGTCGGTTCCCATGATGGTCGTTGTTCTGCTGCAAGGGAACTTAGACTCTTGATAGTCTTTGGAGTTGAGCAGTGCTTGCACCTAGCATTTAAAACAAGATACTGAGACTACCAAACACTTAACTGCTTATACTAGCAGTTTTCTGTAAACTAGTAGTTTTCTTATACTGGTAGATTTTTTTCATTCAGATTTCCTTACTCAATGGGAGTAAAAAAGTATCTATAGTACTGTTTAAAAAAACTATTTTTAAGCACACAGAAGCTTTAGACCACAAAAATCCTCATGCCTCCTATGAATCATCACTGAGGAGAAATATTTGATCCGGTAAAGACTGCCTCACTGAACAGAAAGGAAGACAACTGTACATCAGTATACGGCTATACACATGCATGTCAGCACTCTATTGTTTAACAACACACACAACGTATCACTTGGTAATAGTGGCAATATATGAAATTGTAATATGCACTAAGACATAAGTAGGTTTAGTAGAGAAATTTGGGTTTATCTACATCCACACATATTTTAAGTATTAGTTATTAAAACTACCTTTTCTTTTTATCACTAGAGTATTTACGTATGATTATAAAATTTATACAAACGTAAGATAATAAGTAAATGCTGCAAGTGGATAAAAATATCAGAAGACTTGTTTTCAAAGTTGCTTTCATTTGCCTCAGGAAACAAAATTACAACATCACTATTTTTTATGAAGTAAGTTTCTGTGCCAATATACCTCAATTAGAATTTGTAACAGATATTTGTTGTGTTTTAGAATTACAAGCAAAGGATGTCATATAAAAATCAGTAGTAGTGATATAAAGCCAAAGTCAACCAACTAAACAAACTCTGGCTTTAGATTTTGTGTTTTTTCTACATATATGTAGACATAAAGCTTTAAGGCAAATCATCATGTAATTCAAGTACCTACTTAGACTATCTGATACAATACATCAAAGTAATAATATCAAATTTTAGATGGAAGATCACTAACAAATCCTCATTAGAGATTCAAGCTCATTCTTAGAGCAAAAATAACATTGATTTTTGTTCTACTATACAGAATCTTTTTAAAACTTTGCTAAATATATGTCACTGGTAAAAAAAAAAAAAAAAAAAAGTATGAGGAACAATGTTCTGAAGTCCCAACATCCTTTTCAGGTTCTTTCCTAAATTTCCTATCCTATAAAGAGCTATTCTATTCATGGAATATCATATAGAGCACTAGCTTTTACAATATAGCCATTTAAACAGGGAATCACCTCCGAAGATTAATTGTGAGTAGCTGGGGAAATATATCCGTTAGGAAAGCACAAGGGGAAATACTTTGTACCAGTGAAGATCCACTCCCAGTAGGAATCCCCATATATTGCTTTTATTTCAAAAAGCTGTAGACAGCCATATCTGGAAAGGTCAAGACCATATATGACAAACAGAAATACTTACCTGTAATTCATTTTCTCAGGACCTTATGGGAGGCTCTAGGATTCAAGTAAAATATGCAATATGGTGCTGCACAGAAAAATTTTTACTGCCTACAGGACTGGAAGCAGTGCAACAAAGTGCTGTGCTTCAACTAATTAGAACTGTGGAGAGGGAGGACTCTATAGCTTGTCTGATGTAGACTACTACTTCCAACTTTGGTAACTACATGCTGCTGTGCTGTACTGCGAAAACATACTGCTGCTAGCTCTCGAGGAGCTGGAATATCATAATCATAATATCATAATAGGGTATCGTACAGCATAGCACAGATGCCACATCTAGCTGTGCATATCATATTCCACAGCTCTGGAAATTTGGAATTCAGGAACTCATTTAGGTTTGTTTGTTTGTTTTTTAATACAGTGACTGGCATCCACAAATAGGTTAGACACTTTGCAGTGTTGTGGATCTCAATAAATGGCAAACGATGAAGAAAGACTGTCTTCTTTCCAAATCCCACCCTTCTTTCAAAACCCAAGTTTTTCCCACCGCTAGGAATGTGGGAAAGAATGACCCTTGGACTGATATCTTGAAATCGTTTTGTGGGCCTCTATTTAAACCTCAACCTGTCTACAAAAAGACCGGCTTACACTTTTAAAGGAAGAAATTTTTCAATTTTAGTCTAAGATCATCTGTCCAGAAAATGGAAGATCTGGACTAAAAGTAAGAGTTTTATGTTTTTTGTAACCTAAAAAAAACCCTCATAACCCCATTTCTATCTTTATAGTACAATGCTGTAACCACAAACCACAGGCAAGGCTGAAACTGGGGTGCTGCATAAATAACAGTGTAAGATTTATAAAGCAAGTGAACAAGATAAAGCCTAATTGCAGTCCAGCCACACACATCCCTTGATATGAGGTAGTAACCTGACAATATATCCCTTCTCTCAGTACTGCTAATCATTTTATGTAATTTGCATTACAGAATCTTCAGATTAGTTATCCCTTGAGCATTGTGGTTTGAATTATTGAAGCAAATGATATCTATCTAGTACTGAAACTCCTATAACATAAATAAATACTTTTAACCTACCCATAGTATTTTACGTTCCCCTGTAAAAGAAAAGGAGCGGAAAAATCTAATAATTCAAGATCATCTTTAGTAGATCTCACAGGAATAACACATTTAAATCTTCTTGAAAGCTTCCAGATTTCTTTTAGTGTCCCACCTATTAAAAACAGAAAAATGTTTTCTTAAGCTGTATTCAAGAGTAAATTGAACACACTACATTTCTTGACTAACTGGATGGCAATTTCAGGACCTCCAATAACAAAAAATTATGAGACCCATTATGGAAAACTGAAAAAACAATCTTTCACTTTCTGACTCTAACTCAACAACAGAATCAATATAGAATCAAAGACGGTCACTTATCATAGCAGATATTTTAATATCTTTGCGACAGTTATCATCGTTACCATGAAGTATATTTAATTAGCATCATTTTCATATCATATTTAATATGATTTTAGTAGTTGCTTTCTTTATTGGGGAAAAAAAACAGGCCCTAAGTCAAGAAAGAATACAGTGATTTTGTGCTATTGCTCCTAAAGAACTGTTATTCCAACCTTTAAGAGGTAAAACAACTATTAATTTTTAAACAACAGATAAGAAAAAGGGGCATTATAATTAACATCAAATGTAAAGTATAAACTTGATGTGGATTTGAGCACCACTAATTTGGAGTCATGTTAGGGACACAGTAGAAATACTAAGGCTAGAACTATGGGATTTTCCAATTCTAATGAAAGGAAAAAGCTCTTTAAAATTTATTATATATCATAGATCTATAATAAATATAGGCTACCATGTCTTTAACCTCTGTAGAATGGTCGGCAGAACTGATTATAGAATCTTTTTGATATTTGACCAATTCAGTGGAAATGTAGTAAATCTATTAACATATAGAGAACAGTTGTTGGTTGGAAATAACAACTTGATAAAAATATATAATTTAATCAGGTCATGAACAGCAGATAATAGGAAAAAAAAAGTGAGGAAACTTTTAAAATAAATATTTTCTACGATGACTGCATTGCTTACCACCAACTCTAATTAAGATCTTTCAAAGACTTTATGACAGTAATTATGTACTGTGCTGTAAAATATGCATTAAACTTATTCATTACTTGTATTCCAGAAATAACCAGAGAAGAAGCTGTATTTTTATTGGTGATGTAAAACCATTGGTGAAAATATTGGTGAAACCTTCTCAATAAATCTACTTTCTAATGGTTAAAAAAAATGAACAAGGAAACAAACAAAGAGGCACAGAGGTTTGAAATGCCTTCTCAAAAGGTCAGAAAACAAAGGTCCTCCAAGCCCACTGAAACTGTTAAAGCCTCTCAGATACATCTGAAATCTCATTTAAGGGAATTAAAAACAAAATTCAGGGTAGTCTTAACTATAACATTTCTAAGAGACCTCTGGAATTTCAGTGTATTCATAATGCAAAGTCGCACCTAAAGAATGTATTCTGGCTCCCAAGACAACAGCATAAAACATACAGAATTATCAGTGCTTAACTATGATATGGATTACAGGGATTTCATGTAAAAATAATGAAAATATGCAATGAGCTTTACTCGTTAACTGTGACATCTCCTTACTCTTCAGTACAAGTCATCTGCAGCAATAGTTATGGATTCCCCTCATCCCCTCATGCAGGGTCACCTAAAAATTCTGTCCTGTATCCAACTCTTTCCTCAATGTCAGCCCAAAAGATGCCAAACATTCCAAAAGAACTTATTCCTTCAGCATAATGACTATGGGGAAGAATACAGTCTTGGGCAGTACAGGAGCAATTTGCTTGTATTAAACAAACAAGAGCAGAATCTAGATCATATCCATCTAATAATCGCCATAATGCATTGCCCTTTGAGGGTGGTCTCTATCTGCAAAAAAACTGAGAAGGACTATTTGGAGCCTCTATGGAGGCTTCAAAAACTTCACTTTGAAGAACTTAATGAAGGTAAAACGAAAATAGCATATGGCTTGGAAAAGGTTCATGATCACTGTTCTGAAAGAAAAAAAAAAAAGCCAAAACACTGGTCTACTAAAGCCTTTTTAGTATATAGAATAATTCACATTATTCCTTTTCCTTGTGCTCCAACATGGAGCACCCATATAAATACGTACTTAGTTGCTGGAAGTTTACAGTTTGAAAAAGATTTACTAAGTTATATTGATTAATTATTTTAGGAGAAAAGAGTAGATACAGGAGTTCTTTTTCTTTTGTTCTCATAAAGTCAGATTGCAATCTAATTTGGAACAGGTCAGAATTAAGGCAGGCTATCAGAACAAGTCAAATAAAAAATAAAGCAGAAAACAGAAGGGGTTTTGTCACTGACCCTCATGCAAGGGACCAACTGGCTCACGTTTGCTTATTCACACCAATGCTTGAGCAGCACTGAGGACCTTGTTTCAAATTCGGAATGGTATTATTTGCAAACATTCATTATTCTTATTCTATTCAAAACATTCCTTATTTGTATTCTTACTTAAATTGCTTTGTTTAAAGTTCAGTGGCTATTTCTCTCGCCTGAGGCAAATCTGACCAAAGGGAAAAAAAATGCTGTAAGAAGCTTTGTTTATCTGAAACAACAGTGACATCCAGAGGCTGACAAAGTTAATTGTAGCTTTGCGTTAACAAGACTGTACCAAGACAAAAAATATTTTTTAGATGATTCTAACCAGATTCCAAATGACAACCGCAAGTCAATAAGCACAGCTGGTAAATAACATATTAAGATTTGAGTTTTAGCAGAATCAACAATAATCTTAATGTTTTAGGCCACTGTAGTTGACTTTCTTCTGTTCGCACAACTAAAAGTTCCAGTTGAGCTTTTCTTTTCTTTAAGATGCCTTTATGATAATCACTACTTGCACTGAATACAAATCAGAAGGGTCTCTGCCATTTAAAGTGGTATATTTGTAGCTATTTATCTTACCTTCTATCATAAGCAACGTATGTTCAGGCTCTTGAAGCATTTCATCATGCTTTACAAAATGAATAGCTATTTTCCTCTGCTTCTGATCTTGTGTAGTCCACATCACAGAACCATACCATGAGGTATTGTGCAATTCCGGGTTTGGCGCAGTAGTTGCAGAATCTTGTAAAATTAAGTCAAAGTCATCTCCATCTGGAACTTCTTTCCTAAAACCATTTCCAAAATGAATAAGTAAATAATAACAGCTTCTCCTTAGGCAATCTAGCTATAAAGAAAGAGGGCAGAACTCTAGATACATACATATAGTCATGAGAATTAAAGCATATTCAGGAAAAATAACTTTTCTTTGCTGATCTTTGTTGTATCGGTATATATGTTTAGGACTGTATATCTCATATGTGGAAGTACTGTGCAAATTAAATCAGGATAATTCAGTTCCATATTAATAGATATACTAAGTAATTTAATCTTACCTAGGAGCAGAAATAGCCTAATAGCTTCATCCACATATACAGAAATCAATGAAAAACAAACACGAGTTTCATTGGATGTCAAATGGGCCTTAAAAAGGTCACACTACTGCATATCAATTTAATAGAGTAAAAAGCCTATATAAGCCCATATAGCTTCACGTTTTATGTTCTAGCCTATTTCACTTTGCATATTATGGGGAAAAAAAAAAAAAGAGCAGGAGCAGAACAGCTTCCTATACGGACTGTAAAGGGAAAATCAGCAACTCTGCATCTCACAGTCTCTTTCCTGTCCTAGTAGAGTATGACAGCAACACATTTCCAATTGTCTCCTCTACAGAGGACCAACGCAGGCCATCCACATTTTACAAATACTATCACAAGTAGGCAAAGAGCCAGTGGCAGGCACACAAAATTTTAATAGCAAAGTGTTTTAGAACATCTTCTCCTACACAAGACAGCCCTGTAGAATTCAGGTGGAACATGAACTGTGACAAAAAGTAGGACAACGGGGGAGAAAAAAAAAGAAGCTTAGGCTATTTCATTAAACACTGAAAAAATAGTAGGTGGCAGGTTTTGGAGCATACTTAAAGAGGAAATACCAACAATTCCTGCAGCTTATTTTGAAGATCTCTCTTTCAATCTCCAAAACAGCTACTTTTACCATTAATAGGATAATTCCTGCCTATGAAACCAAACTCCGATATTCTTCTGCTAGAACTGCAAAATTAGCATATAAGAAGTCTTGCTGAAACTGCATTTTGATTTCATGAATGCAATACCTTTCACATGACCTCTTTTCATGTGCGTTCCTGGACTACTGTAAGTGCAAAAGCAACGGACCTAACATAATAGGTCATCTTCCCATTAAACTCTTCTGGCCTCTAAAGCCTGCCTGTAGAATTCCCACATAGCAATAGCAGAGGCAAGAACGGAATTAATTGGCTTTGAAACAAACTAAGCACCATGGCTGTAACCTGTTCAGCGTGGGTATATGAAAAAAATTAGTTCCATCTGTACCAATATTTCTCTATTTACAGAGAAGTTTTCACTCAAAGTCTAAAAACAAAAAACACACATGCATCTCTCAGGAGGATTTTATGCACCAAGAGTTACGTGCGTCTTACTGCGCAAGGTGTTAAAGGGTCAAATTTGCATTAAACTTAGTTCAGTCAAGTTCTTTAGCATATGCTAAAATAGAAAATAACTTCTGCCATGACAGAATATGTAGTAGGGAAGGATGCCATCATGCTTCCTTCTCTGACCCCTTAATTCACCCAGCCCAGGCTGCAGTAGAGCTCCACTATATTTCACTGATTCCCTCCACCTGATGAACGAAGTTGAGAAAGAGGGAAGTTGAATTTCCAGAAAAGTGCTGCAAATAGTCCCATCATTGCAGCAGGATGGTAGGAGGAGGAAGAAATATGCTAACTGAAGCATTACAAATCTTTCTGGTTAAAAAACTGCCCTAATTCTGTAGCAAAGACAGGGCAGCAAAACATGAAATAGGAGGAGAGTGAAATTAAAAGAAATGAAAAAGGAAGGGAAGACTATATAAAAAGGCTATGAAAGTCAAGAAAAATTGTGCAGTAGGGATAAAGTTCATAAGGAACATGCAAACTTCGATCTGCAGACTCTTTTCACTATACAGTTGGCAAATATATTGAAAAAGAGACAAAAGCGGCAGAGAGAGTTTGTTATTACTTCCTTTTTGTATTTGGTAGTAAAGAGCATGTACTTGTATTTTGTGAAGATGATGAAGCAGTTTCTCATGCATTTGTATCTGAGAAAACATTATAACATCCGTTACAGCAAAATATTTTTAAAGTAGCAAGCATGACAGTTTGCACCCAAGAGCCTTAAGAGAAAGCTAGTAGGTGCATTTTATCTCAGTGATATTCATATCTAGTAAGACTTGACTATGCAAGAAATGCTCAAAGGCCAGGAGAATGCTAGCTTGCCATCACACAAAAAAGGCAACATTTAACACCAGTAACTATAAAGCTGTTAGTCCCACATCAGTCCTAAGCAAAGTCAGGCAAAAAAAAGTGATAGAGGATTTTGATGGTCATGAATAGCAGTATAATTCATGTCATTCTATCTTTTCATTGAAAATAGGTCATGTCATTTTTAGATGAGACTACAACATTAATATTTATCAGCTAAAGTCACAGTAGAATTTTTTATCCGTAAGATTATTTGACTGAGCACTATATGACACAACGACAGTACAGAATTGCAGAGGAAATAACAAAGATAAAACAGTTACCGTGAACTGAGCAAGTCAGAAAAAAGGCAAAACTACCAAGGTGAACAGCATTTCCCTGACATTTTTGGGTCAAGATGAGATGCCTTCTCTGGAAGACACACTTTAGTCAAAGATATTTCATTTTTTAACGAAGTCGATGACACCTCTTTGCATATTCTATTTTTAAAATGCATGACAGCAACATGAACTTAAAAATAGCTTCAGCATGGGATAAAGTCAAATAAACAAACAAAATCTAGAGTTTCGAAAGTACTGAAAAGGATCCTGTAACCATAACTCATTTGATGATTTTGAATCTTGCTACCTAGTATCAGTGAGTTTAAAATCTTTGCTTGCAATGAAACAGATTTAAATTCAGCTCATTTTACGTAAAAAGGATGAAAATACACTGAAAATATAGACATCTTAAAATATATACAGCAATTTCTAAATTACTTATTGTGTAAAATACTTACAAAGAGTTGCATTTGGAACAATAAAGTTTAATACTCTGATGGAGCTTCTGAGGTTTAAAAGTTCTCAGCTTTGCTCTAATGCGGTACTGTTGAGGAGCAGTGCTGTTCAGAATAGTTCTCAGCCCTGTGTTATTCAAATCCTGATGATCTGTTAATACTGTAAAAACAAAAAGACCCTACATACACCTACTAAAATACATAATATTCGGAATATGGGAAACAGATATCATAGCTGTAAAATTAAAACATTTGTCCTAATCCCCCGCTTCCTCCCGCACCTGGAACAACTTTAAGATTTAAGAACAACTGGTTCTTATGCCCTGCCATTATGGTAACACAATTCATAGTACCTTGACTTCACAGTGGGGTGAAATTCAGTAATATAAATAGTCCCCTTGTTTCCACAGAAAGAATACCTGAGTGTGCAAGTTAGAACAGCAGGATGATCAGGAGATCACAGTCAAGGACATGCCACGATCCTATGCTGTGATGCTACACTCAGCTTGATATGGACCAAGTATGAAAACAATATAGAGAAACTGCTCTTATAAAACTAGCCTGTTTAGTTTAGTTACAACCTGCATTTTGGTAACTCAGTTAGCAGCTGCTATCCAATTTAACTTGCTATCCAAGTTAGATTTGCAAACAATGGGTAAAATGAAACGATCACTTAAAATACTTGAACCATTTCTGTCTGTTCCTGTGGAGAGGGCTGCAAGATCAGGCATTAGATGAGCTAAAAGAAAATTCTGAAGACTATATACAGTTGCAGCCTCAATTTCATCAATACAACATGTTGCTACAACCTTTAAGATAAACCACAACAGGCTGTACGAACACTGTATACTTGAGGGTGTAGAAATTCAATGTGGACAAAAAAAAGAAAGTAGAAGATATAAAGATATTTATATAACTTTAGAGAATATAGATATATCTTTTTATATATCTTTATAGAATATATATATCTTTTATAGAAAATATAAAGATATTTTATTCCATAAAAATGTAATAGAAACAATTCAACATTCATAAACTTAGAATCATAGATGTTAGAACAGATCTCAGATCTTACTATTACTTCAACTCTTTGCATTCACGTCTCAAATTTTTCTTGTTCTTTAGCAAAAATAAAATTCACCTTGACATCAATGTTTCCTACCTGTTACAGATAATTGCTGACACCTCTGTAAATGCGACTGAAGATCTAAAAATCAAGAAGAATTTTCTAATTATTTTCTTTCCTTTTTTATCATGCGGACACTCAAAAATGCGTTTGTATACGACAAGAAGTTGAACAAAAGACAGTGGAAATTCTAAAAACGTATGAAAACAATACAACAAAAGAAAGGAAAGTAAGCTTATCCTTGGAGTCCTCTGGAACAGATAATGCTATAAGTTGGCTGCCATTCTTTTCCAATTTTCAAATGGCACTGTTATTCCAGGGCCTAAAAGCTTATGCCTAAGACTCCCATTATATTACGTTCTATGCAGACATAACAGAAAACATGTGCCCAAAAGTTTATCACTTAGAGGATACTAATACCTTCAAAGATATGTTGCACTAAGCTTCTTAAGTATCACCACAGAACAGCTCTTTCATGCAAAAGAAGAGACTAAGGTTGATACAGCTTTTATTTGGTAAACTGTTTGAGTTACTACTTTTCCACCTTGCAACTCTGCCAGTGACAAACTTTCCATCTAATAGCTTCAGAAGGGCTCCTCAGCAAGCAGCTGTATGGTGCTTTCAGTGCCTGTGTTACTCTGCCTTGTGATCTATTACAGCATGATTTTGTTTATGCTTAAAAATTATTTGTGTTTAAAAATTCATTCACTACCTTTTATGAAAATATGTTTCCATCTATATGAAAGGATTCCACTGAGAGACAGAGGATAGGATAATGTCAGTTTTCAGTCTAATAATCCAAAAGAATTCTCAAAGGCTTTATATGAGAGAATGACATTACACATCGTCTTTAGAGAAGCAATAAACACGACCTTATCTTGACTATATTTAACTATATGTGAGAAGAAAGAACAAATCAGTTTTAAATTGCTCTTACCTGTAACATTGCTAAAGGTGCCATCTAATTCCACTGAAGACACGCTTTCCGCATTCTGACTGTCTGCCAGATCCACAGATTCCAAGAATCTAAAAATAAGCGGATGAATATTTTATACAACTTTGTAAAATCTCTCTCTCTCTCACCCCCTCACCCCACCCTCCCAACATCTTGTTTACTAATACATAGGTATAATGTTCAGACATAACAGAATCTCCAGCAGAGACATAAAACTCAATTAAGTCAAAGGCTGCAGGGTTTATATTAACGATGCAGGTGAGACATTCCTTTCTAAATCACTTCTGGAACCTTAAACCTAACACAGTGCCAAAAGACATCTGTACTGCTGAAAACAAGGGATTTCTGATAAAAGAAAATGGACTTTGGTCACTAAGCCACTCCTTATGCATATAACTCAGTACAGTAAAGCATTTAAATGTTATGCCTCATTTCAAACATGTTTTACGTCTCACTATGTCCAAATAAGACATATGCACATGTTTAAAACATGCTCAATTCTTTGCTTAAACGTAGCTTCTACCTTTAAAAGATTATATGCCATTATAAAACAGAATAGCTACGTTAATGAAGCTAGGCCTTATTATTAGAGAATTATAAAATAGAAATCTTAAATCCCTGCTGTATCTTCAATTTGAAAAATTACCTCTCACTTTCCTATCCTCCCAAATACTTATTCTTCACCTCAGGAGTGCTAAAGACGTGCTCTGTCCCAGAGTTTCTGTTTTTTACGTATATTTACAGTTCTAAGCTGCACAGTTGTAACATTAGCCTAGAGTTTTCTGGGATCATCTAGAAAATATACTTAGAACTTACTCTTTTAGTTCCTTAACATCTGGGTTACTTTCTGGCAAGACTCCTATTCCTCGACCGTAACAGGTGCCACCATGAAGATGGAATTCTACATGCGATGCATCTGCGTTGTCAGCACTTGCTTGCTTTGTACGAATACTGTAAATTCTCAGAAAACTTCCAATCTTAAGCGTGGGGGAAAAAAAGAGTGATTTAATAACACAATGTTAGCTACTTCCTTGGACAATCCTAAACATCCTAACCCTCTCTCCCAGGTTTCACACGATCTCCCCTCTGGAGATTGTCTAGGCCAATAATATGTTGTTAATTTCCCTTTCATATGTTCTAAAGGCCTTTGAATCCAATTTGCTATTATGTAAATAACTTTTGAAAAGTATTATCAAAGATCCAGCTGATAGCTGGTGAGGTACACACATTCCATAACCTGGATTAATATTTGCTCTAAGTATCTTTTAAATATCACTATATAAATAATAAATCATTTTAAATTGACTTCAATTAACATTAATATAACAGCAGCCAGGATATTATGTCTTATTTCAGCTTCAACGCCCACTTTAGATACGCTTAAGAGCCAGTGACAGAGTAAGTTTAACCAGTAGAGACCTAAAAAGTGCACTCGTCAGGCTGGACTGGCCATGTCTTAAGATGACACTTATACACATATGCATAGAAGCAGATCAAGCAGCAGATAAAGATGATCATTTCACCAGCAATCTGAGCTAAACTCAGATTGCAGTGTGAATGCTATGGGCAAACAATTTCTTCTTCTTCTTCTTCTTCTTCTTCTTCTTCTTTTTTTACTTTCACATTTCTTATGAAGCACCAATTTCTGTCTTACTGATAACAAAATGGGATGGTTTAATTTTAGTAAAAAAATCACATCTTAATGGCAGCTAAAACATATAAAATACACTTTTACTTCATTATTTTGATAAGCAAGGTTTCAATGAAAGTAAATTGTCATTATTGAAAGACGTTACCAATCTGTTATAACATTAACGAAAAACTGCCAAATGTCTTGATTCTAGAACCCTCCAGTCTCAAGGAATAGATTCTTGACTACATAGTGCTAGCATAAAATTGCTCTTTTAAACAATGATCAAATATGAAAAGGAAGCATATTTTCAAATTCAGGCACAAGGGACTTAGAAGGTGTATTTCTGTCTGCACACTGTTTTCCTTCTGGCATGGAGCCTTACCATAGTTTTAGTTGATCTACTCAACTGAGGGGCTGCTCATTTTGTTTATACAAAGCATCTCTCTCATTTTACAGAACTTACCATATATTGTTATTGGTAATAACTAATTAGTATCGTTGTTCTTTTCAGCTTCACAACCACTACGTAAATTACTGGTGATTGACAGCTATTTCAGTAATGGGCTGGAAATGAGGTGTATCTAAAGGTCTTATGTTATCCCTGCTCAATGGACGTAGAAGGTTACTGTCATATTACAAAGCATGCACCGCAGTATCAGTTTACTGCTCTTTCAACAAATCTTTGCTATAAGTAAATAACTGAAAAAACACTGCACCCAGATTATCTTGTTTTTCCCATCCTGCCTTTCCATATGAAGTAATTCACTTTTCAGCTATGAAAAGGTATTTTCTTTCTGTTAAGGGAATCTGTTCATTTGTTCTAAATTCAGTCAAGAATCTTAAGTTCATAGGCTTTCTATAGGAAAGAAAGTAATGAACATAACATAACATGTGAAACTAAAGAATATAGCACAGTATTGCTGCTTGCATTAATTGAGCCTATACCTGGCAATAAGATCTTGCCTGTACCAACAGGCTTTTGTAGCTAAGACTTGATTATGGTAATGAACACCCTTTGTAACCCTTTTTTCCCCACCCTCCATCCCTGAAATAGGCACATTCCTTACATTTAAATCTCAAGAGATTAATATACAGCATCTCCAGTGATAGGTAAGAATGACATTTCAGGACAAATTCCCAACACTTCTTGGGTCCTCCTTTTCCTTCTATTGCTAATCTCCCACAGAACCACACAAGCATGCAAGAAGGCCCACCAATATCAAAAAGACAATTTGCATGTTAGGACTGCAATTAAGATGCTTATCTGAAGGGTTTTTTTCTTTCCAGGTGCTAAATTTCATTCGAATATGTTCTTAATGCTCTTGCCTCTCTTCCATTCCATTCGGCATAATTGAGATTGGGTTACCAACACTGGGGAAAAGCTGCTCTATGTAACTGCGAACACGAAAGAAGTGGAAGCGGAGGTAAATTCAGAAGTAGAATATAGTCTATATTGTGAAACAGTTAATAAGACTCTTTAAATATAAAATTATGACATCCACCATACCCTAGCTCAGAATCTACAAGAAAGATAAAATAGCTAGAAAAAAAAAAAATCTTGCAGCAAGAATACAAGAAACCTGAAAGATGCCAATTAAAAAGAGTTGAAAGGCTGCAAGGTCAGGAAAGGTCAATTAAACAACCTTCAAAATCTTAAGTGTGAGCAAACCACCCATTTGTAGACTACTACTTACTTATCTGTCATTCATTTATGGTTAACCTAAGTGAAGACCATTTAGTTAAATGGAACTTCACAGCAAGAATTTTGAAAAGTCGCAAGAAGTTAGTAGCTGTTCAAGGTAAGATAGAACTGCATGGTATCATAGCATTGCATAGGTACTATTTACTAGCTACTTCAAAATAGAGAATAAATTTCAGAAAGATTTTAAAAGTAATCACACTATTCTTAAGATGATTGATAGAACTAAACTAATAATAAAAATATGATATTGAAAAGATTCTTAAAAGAAGTTCTCTGAACATCCAGAAAGTGAATGCAAACAGTCACTGCAAATGCTAGAGTGGAACACAAGCTATGGAACTTATGTCATAGTAATGGTTTATGGATGTTTCAAAATTTTTCCCACTATAAGGAAAAAAGCAGATTAAAGATTTCAGTTAGACTTAAATTTGGCTGAGAAATTCAGAGCTGAAACAAGAGTCTTGAAGGTGGCTTGTATTTTATGGGAGCCAATAAAAGTAACAGATATATAAATTTGGCTTATTAGACTTTCAGTTTGATTTGTACATAAAAATTTATAGGTACATTTTTTATTTTATGTATTTAGATTTTTGATGTTTCTGCTCCAGTATAAAATGGCAAGAAACAGTCATATCACAAAAATAATCTAACGACTATGACAAATGTTTTTGGATAAACAGTTTTTGCTAAGTTCTTAGCTAAATTTTCCTTATCAAATCACCTTAAGTCAATCTATTAGTGTCAAACTACTTTTTTTGAAAATTTGCATATGAACAGAAAAGAATCTATTATAACTGAAGAATTTTTGTCCTGCTTTCAAAACAATGTACCACAAAACTAGATATTAAAATTACTAATTATTTGTACAAATATAAAATGTTAAAAGCAGCAGAGGAGAGCTAAGAGCCCAAGAAGATAAAGTACTGTTCTTGTCTTGTAAAACTGTATGCTGGAATCAACCAAAATTCAACTGAATTACATGCTTTACTGCAACACTCCAAAATAGACTCTACCCAAGCTTTCTGATCTTTATAAAATAATGCTTACTCCATAGGTATTTGATCAGCTTTTTTGGATCAGATTTTTTGCAAATGCTATTAATTTTAGATATTTTATGTTGCTCATAACTATACTCAAGAGATGCAATTAAAATTAGCGTTGCAAACTACTGAAAAAGTCAGGCAGGTTTTGTATGTCAACAGTAACAAATTGAGCATGCAAGATGGACTGCAATTTCTATAAATTCCTTTGGGAGGCAGCATTGCTTATGGTTAACAGCAGTGTGGAAAAGTTATGGGTGTTCAGCTAAAAACGTTAACAGTATTTTTGATTAGTTTACAGAACGCCTGCGGAGACTACACATTATAAACCTATCGGAGACAAAATTATGATCTACATTAAAACAAACCCTATGATTTTCAGAACTGTAACTGAAGTATAGGACAAATGCAACTTTTTACAGTAATTCTATTTATCAACTACCCAATGACCTCATTTAGGGCCAATTCATTAAAAATGAAATTAAAAAAATAAAAACACATTTCTGGCAATGCTATAAATATATTAGTATCCTATCTTTAGTCAAATTCAGATATAACTCTTTTAAAAATAGATATTAAGGCTAAAAAAATAAAATTAAAGAAACCACAAATACAGCTCCCAGTAACCAGCCAGAGCTAAAGCAGTTTTCAGAGGAGCATATTCTCATTATTGCTCCAGAACAAATAGGGTTATGCCCAAATTTGTTTAACACACTGATAAAGTCTTAAAGGTCATTTATCACGACAGTTAAACTTTCAAGATTGGCCAGAAAGACACTCAAAACGGTTTATTTACAGAAATCATTAAAAAAAAAAAACACAAAAAGCAAAAACTTATACTCATTTTTTCTGGCTTTACAACTGACGGTATTCAAAGCAATTTATTTCTGATTATTTGATCATATCAACCGTCTAATTTGACTGAGTAAATTGTGCACACCTTTTTGCAAGCGACAAGAAGGATATACACGGCGTTTGGGCACAGCCCTTTGCATCCAAGGAATGAAAGATACCAACTTAAATCCATTAAAAGGTTTTGGGGATTTTTTTGGGGTCTTTTCAACTATTGTAAAGACAGAAGTGGGGAAAAATACAATAGATAGGTGATAACACCACTACCTAGGCCTGAAAAATACGAAGCTAGATGTTGTAGGCATGCAACTCATGTAACAAGCAGGTTGGAAACGTAACTCAAGCAGTTAGACACTAATAAAACAAGTAAGACTTAGCCCAAAGCACTATCAAAAAGCACAGAAAAGATACTGAATAGCACAGAAGAAACACAGTGGAAAACATTCAAATTCTAAATCTAAAGATATATAACATGAGGTAAACACTCACACTAACGACTTAAACTTGTATGCATGCTGAAGGTTAATTACTTTCATTGTACTAACTACATTGTAAAATACATTGTAACACAAAATAGATAACAATAATCAAGAGGGGAATGCACAGCGCCACATATTCAACGTAAGACTGTCCGTGAAGGGAATCGCTAACTCAGGTTTAAACTGTGGATAGCTGGACTCCCATTGTGCATTGACTTGATCACTGATACTCATCATGGCACTTACTACCTACCAAAACGCCCCAGGCAGAGAAACCCACGTCACAAACCTTTCTTGAGTTATAAGTAAGGTCTGAGTGAATCCCGAGAACCTCTGGAAAAGCTAGGTTAAGAAAGTGACTTAAGAATAATGAGCAGGTTGCAGGTTCCGGTTCCTGGTGTAATGGGAAAGCCTCATGCACTAAAGGTAGCCAGAAGAGGAGGGATATTCTGGAAAGCATAAGTGAACACCATTGTCTTTCTTTATTACTGTTCTGTTTATGTCTTCATGCCTGAGGAAATGATCCATGTCCGGTGGATATGAGATTTCCAAAAATTCTGTGTGTATTCTGCTAAAGCAACAAATGCTGAAAAGCCCCAATCCTACTCACTGGAAAAGAGAGGCCAGTGAATATACGTGACAGAAAAGTCTACTTACAGTATCAGTTGTAATGTATCTGTAATATTACTGAAGTTCTCTCTGTCGAACACTTTAAATATTAGTTGACTGAGGAAACAGGAAAAATGCTCACACCTTCAGTGCTCTCTGGATAGATAGCTCAGAAAAGGAATTTTTATCAGAATCTTGCAGGAATATTCCTGACATTGTGCTCCAGGATTTCTTATAAATTGACTGTAGTACACTACCCATTATCTCTAGACTGTGCAATGTTTACTCAGAGCTTCCTTTTCTGAGCATGCTTATACAGACACAAATTTAAAATAAAAGCAAATATTTTAGTTTTCTCAGGCTGCACTTCTTGATACTAAGGCTGTGTAAAGCAGATTGTTCCTACACTAAAACATCATTTCAGAACTGCTACTCTTATTGCAAATGGTACACAACAACACTGGAGAGCGTAACCTAACATTTTATCAGCAATTTATATAGAAATGCGCTTCTAACATACTTTCACAAATGCAGAAAAGATGTCTCAAAGAATAATGTACTTTATTGTTTCTGAAACCATGAACTGGCAAAAAACACCTAATTCCTGAGTGCCTGCACTCAGGAAGGTACCTCAGGTGTGCATATGTCACACTCCTTCCAGTTTTATGCTTATTCATAAATGGTCTTTCAATCTTTGTATAACAAGATCCTGAACTAAATAATATATTATATGGATTAATATACCCACAGAGTATTTCAATTACATTTTCTTACAATATGACATAATTTCCACTAGTATTTAAAAATAATCCTTTTATTAAAGCTTTCATTTTATGAAGAGTCCTCAAAGTTTTAATTAAGTTATCTTTAGATTATTCTGTGAAGCAAAAAATAAAACTCATTGCATAAATTACAACCTGAACTTGATACTCTAGTTGCTAGAGTATCAGAGCTTTTTATTCTGTAACTCCACTAAAATACAATCCATCTGTTATAGCAAAAACTGAAAAGTGGTGAAATATTCTAACTTAAAATTTTCCATTTTTCCATTCTGAATGACTGAAACCGCTGCAACTTTGCACACAGCAGAATGAGAAAACCAGAGCTTGCATGGCTCAGAAGACCAAAACAGGTTTCTCAGCTGCTCCCTTTGCCATTAGAGCTTATGCTGTGCAATGTAGTATCTAGCAAAGGTACAGCTGTGTAAGAGAAGAAAGAATAAATAGCAAGGAAAAAAAAGGAGAGAACTGATGAATACACCCAATTTACCACATATTCAATATTAAATCCTGAATATATATTGGGCAAGAGTCATAAATGGATCATGAGCTGATCAAGAAAATACATTTTATTAATATTCATTTAACAATTTTTCCTTCATTTTCAAAATATATTGCTTCACTGAAACATCATCATTTAGTACATCAACAGATGACATCAGTTAGCAAGATAATAATTCTGTGAGAGAAGCTGTAAGTAATGAAACGCTTCTTTGAGGACATTTTGTTGTGAATTCTGACACAAATGCCAGCTATTTCACTATGTGTCATTTACTTATGAACATATAATAATATATCAAAATGATTTTGTCCCTGCTGATAGCCCCAGCCTAACAACTACTAATAAAGTATCACTTATCTTTATTTTCTGGTAAAGACAGGATCTTAAAAATCATACTTGTGTATAGAAGGCAAGCCATAAAATGAAAGATACATTTTTTGCTAATTTGCTGTATTCAGAAGCAAGATGGCAGTATTGCTGAAGATCAAATGTTTAATTATGTTGTTCTTTTATCTATGTAAGCGTAATCAGCACTACTGATCCACTAAATGAGGATATGCATTGTAAAATGCAGAAGTTTGTAGAGCAGATCTTTCACTGATTTCAGACTTACGGGCATTTAATAGGACTACAAGTTTAACACCACTTTATATCATTTAAAAATAACTTTAAAACATAGCATACATTTTCTGAGAACATTATTTTCACAGGATTATGTATGATGTTAAAAAGAGGAAAGAAAAGAGCTGCTTAATTGGAAAGTTTTTTTTCATGGTTTTAGGGTAATGAAGCTGCTTCACACATGCTGAAGGAGTTTTACATTCAAATAAAAGGTGGGGGAAAAACAGTAAAAAAAAAAAAAAGTAACATGTGAAACTAATTAACACTAAAACTGAATTGCTACTTTCTCTGAGGTGAGTTCTAAATAGAAAATAGGCCACAGAATGAGAGCTAGAATACTACATTGTGCATTACCTTAAGTGATTTTGCCAGTGGTACATGGTTATCATAGACTAGAATGTCCACTGTTAGATTTCGCAGCTGATGAAGGAGAGCTTTTTCTCCTTCCAGGTCGCTTGCTTCCACAGGTACCTTCCACGTCGGGTAGGGACATTTTGTGCCATCCCATACCTGCAATGAAAAGAAACCACTTCAATACGCCTGAGAGGCAGAGGCTTTAGGTTAGGCATTAAAATAACATTTTTTTACACATCTGTTGCTTGATTAAAAATTGGTAACAAGAAATCTTACTTGGGGTCTCAGTTCTAAGCTCCTTAAACTATTCCATGGTTTTTAAGGGTTTTTTTTTTTTATTCTTTTCACAGTATAAAATAACCTCCATATAGAATTTTATCAAGTGTCAGAAATTAGAATTTGCTAATATTTAATCAAAATTTAGCCCTAGCAAAAACTCCACTGTTTCTCCAGCAGATACAACTAAGTAGACTTCATCGTAGAACTTTCTACATTTAATATCTGAATGCCTGCTAAAGTTTTTAAACGCTCTAGTCACGGTACATGGAGACTGAGTACACAGCACACGCTCCACGATTTCCTACTTCAGTCTACATTGCATGTTATGTGGCCCATAGTACAAAAACATCAGTATTTCACATCTACTTAATAATTAGAATTCTACAAAGTGGCTACCTAAAGCTAAGCTCCTGATAGATACTTAAAGCATTGAAATATCAGTAGAATTATTTTTGAGCTACCAAATTTTTGTGGAAAAGTAAGATTGCCAACAGACAGAAAATAACAGATCCAGTACTTTGTACCAAAAATCTTTTAATGTGCATCAAATTCCAAACTTTCAGTGATAACTGCTTACAATATACTCTGTAAACCATGGTTTCGTGAGTTGACAGTTCCTGAAGATGTGCTTTTCTCAAAGACAACAATAGAAATAATGGTCTGCAGAACAGGTATCAAAAAAGAAAAAAACATAAAGGCATTTGAGACTGTAAGACTGAAATGGTGCTTCATGCATATTACTCCAACAGAAGCTAATTTCTAGACAGACCAAAGCATTTTATCCCATGAGTTAGGCAATGCAAGAGGTAAAAAAAAAAAAAAAAAGTTAACCAAAGGTTAATTTTTAAAGGGTTTCTGCCTCTTCCTATCATCAGGAAAAGCTGAACTGCTATGGATCAAAGGGCTCACAGAAAAAGACCTAAGAAACAGCAAAGCCACGTGTAAATACACTGAGAATAACTCATGGTTGAAATACTCAACCCAAAGCAGAGATAAAAGGGAAAGCTTTTCACAGTGAAAACGTCCTATAAGATCAAATTAACATTCCCAAATCAGAGTGTATTCTGAAGGACCCAGATAATGAGGTGGTACATGCTGCCACAGATTTAAAAAAAGTCTATTATCTTCTGATCCTGTAGCACCATGAAAACTTAAAAACCACGTTTGAATAAGATGCTGCCCATTAGCTGAATTATCCAGGCTTTTCCAGAACTAAGAGAAACAGAGATTTATTCCACTGGGTATATGTTATGAAAATAGTTTCTTTGACAGATAGAAGAACTATAAGTTTGTCAAGTTCTCATCATTTTCCAACTAGTTTTATTTGGGACATTTTAGTAGTTCAATATTTAAGAGATGGATCTGACAAACTGATTTAAATAATCTGAACGCACCTTCATATCCAAGGATGACTGTTTCGTTTTAAAATGTCCTCTGTTGGAGGAACTGATGGGGTTGGAGCCAGGGCAGCTTTTGAAGAAATTTTTAAGCTAGCAATCTCCCCTCTCAAGAGAAAAATCCCTTAGAAAAGTAGCTAGTTTTCATTTTCATTTGCAAAAACACGAGCACAGATTCAGCTCACAACCTCAAGAGCTTACCAGCTTCACTCTACTCAAATTATGGAACGGATGAAAAAACAGGAACTAATGAGTAATTTACTTACAGTCCGCAAAGTTCTGAGGTTTTATCGAGTCTCATTTGACATCTATTTCACAAGACATAGTTTAAATTGAAATATTTGCAACTGCAGAGCATATTATAGGATGTTGCTCAAGGTTTTTTTTTTTGTGCAAACATTGTTCTGCCCAGAAAAAAAAAATCTTTGCTACTTTAATGAAGGAATAATGCAATGTATTGCTTCCTAACATGCTATAGCAGCATGGCTTAATATAGTATTATCAAGGAATAATTATGTAAAGTCATGAAATGGAAAATAACAGGCTGTTCATCATTCAGGTTTTAACAATCAACTCACAGTACTTAAAAGCCAAAACAGATATTTCAGAATAACAGACTGATACAGCTGGAGCTAAATCCAGAAAAATTACATAAACTCCTTTTTATTTAGCTGATGCTAAAGATTGATCCTGGAAAGTACTTTCTTGTTGTGTGACGTTTTGCCTTTTGTTCTTTTATTAAGCATGGATCCCCAAAGCACTTACATATAACTAATTGAGGCTACCTAAAATCCATCACGAACATAACATAATCATTCATTCATTCGTGTTCTAAAGTGTGCTCGCTGCATTAAGCTATATCCTACAGGCATAGCTCAAAAAGCGCAATAATTGTTGCTGACTAGAAAATAAGGTTAAAATTAAAATTAATAGTATTTTTCAGGATTAAGAAGGCCTGCAATATTTACCTACAAATGTCTGTGAAACCATACTTCATTTCAATGCCATCTTACAAAACCTCTATAAAGAAATAAGTTAAATGAACAACTTTAAAGAGAACAGGGATTTCTACTTTGTTCTCATAGAAGTAAAATAGTCACAGACCATAAATTCACTTAACCTCTAAATATTTATCAACTAATATAATTAATAATATGAATTAAATAATTAAATCTAATAATATGTTGGTTTTATCAAAACTCTGAATCATGATACCTTAATATATAAGTCTTAACAAATGATTTAAAAAAAAAAAAAAAAAGGCCGCGGGTCCAGAGATGGAAAGATTACTAGCTGCCCATGCACGCAGTTCTTCTATTGTTTTCTGCTCTTCACCCAAGAAAGTGTACAATTTACTAGAGGTTCGAGGAACTATGGGTGCACCTACAGTGCCATCAAATGTCAGGGATGCAAATCCCCCACTGGTAATTCCCTGCATCTGTCCATTGTATTCCCTGATCTGTAATAAAATAAGAAGAGAAAAATAAGTGGCTGTACCGCATCAAAATACACATATGTTTCAGTTTTATCATGTGCATAAAGAATGGATCATTGATCATTTTTGTTCCCGGTAGCGTGAGGAGAAAGGAGCTGAAACAAAACAGAACAAAAACCAAAAAAAGCAAATTAACGTAATCTAGACAAAGTGGGTAAGCAGAAAATGTAATACCAACCATTTTTGAAGACGCAGACTAATGTGTACTTGCAAATATACATCAGCAGTGCACAGCATTTTATTCACCAGCCTCAAAGTGTATGAGTGGAGAATGCACCGTTATTCTTTTTACTGACGAGGAAACTGAGGCATCAGCAAAATTACAGCAGAGAATTGTCAGAGCAAAGGAATTATGAATTCTTGTTTTCTGCATCTCATGATATGCCATACTTCCTGATATTATGGAACTGAATAATAAAATATCATTTTTAGGAGATATATATTTTTTTCTACAAAGCAAATAGGGATCAATTTTCTTCCCCTGAATTATAAATATAACTTTCAGTATTAATTTTATGTCTACTGCCTTGCACACGGCAGGCCTCTTGTATCCTGCTGATTTAGCAGTGTATCCGCTTCCACAGAAAATAGCGTTCACATTTTGAGGCATTCCTTCAAGGATAAAGTAGTCTCCTCCTGCTCCCTATAACACCTGCATGATTCATGATCCAGAAATCTCAGACCTTGATTTAACCAGCTATTTATATGCATCCCCTTTTAATTAAAATTTGCTTACCAAAAAGGAATATGACTTCTGAATAAGCCATTCATGGGAAAATCTAGTTTAAGATTCCCAGGGCTCATTTTTCAAATGATTTAAAAGTGCAGAACCCAAAAGATATAACAAATAAGTTTTAAATAGCAACATTTGACCAAGACACTGCCAACAATTTAGCCCTAAAGTTTATAACACAGATTTAAAAAAAAAAAAAAAAAAAAACCCCCCAGGTATTCTTTGTGAATTCATCAGCAAAGCAGTTCAAGCTTGGTAATAGGACGTCCTTTAATCCCTGTTACTTTGGCATAAGTCTTGCCTAGAAACATAAATGTCTTAAGGACATCTCTAGGATAAAGATTCATGTACTTAAGCATTCTCCAGACCCGTCTAACAGATTATATCAGTTCATGATACAGTTTTTCCTCCACTGTAACACTGCAAAAACTTTAGTCCTTTAACCTTTAGATTTAAATTTTGAAAGTACAATAAAAATCAAGAAAGTACACAGCTTTTCATAACCTATTATTCTGAAGTAAGAATTACTCACAATCTGGAAAAGAATGTTGCAATAAAAGAGCAAGGTTATCTGAGAGATGCACAGCTTCACCTTAGCTGCTATCACTGGCAATATATCTCATGGCTCCTCAAAGCAAGCAACATCCAGAGGAGAGGAAAACCCTCTTTCATCAATTTTATTTATTCACCTGCTATCAAAAGATACTTCAAGCATATTTTTAAGTATTTTGTCTCACATGTCAAACATTTTTCAAAGTGTTTCATTCCAATTTACCTATTTATTCATTAATTTAATTTCTTCCCTAATTTATTTAATCATCAAAATACCTTGACTTCTTACTAAAAATTCTGTTCAAGACCTCCAACATAGGTTTTCATGAAGGCTCTTAACTTTCCAAGTAGGTAGCTCAAGAAACTATTTTGCCTCCCTGGGCTTCCACTATTACTTCACCACAGACTATTTCTCCTATTTTCCAAAGCCTTGATGTCATGTTTTCAGTATTCTTAAGGCTGCATTTGAACATACTATACTGTACTGTACTTTCAAAGAAAAATATTTCCTAGCTGCTAAAAAGACTTCTGTCAAGCCCATAGAACAGAAGATGCTCAACAGAAATTCTTTTGGCTTGTCTTTTAAAAATAAATCATTGCTAAAGTGATGAGGAATCACTGGAGTGTGAGACGAACAAAACTCATGGGCAAATGCTGTTTCATTACAGCACACTCTAAGAAGATCTTAAATGAAGTTAAGTGGTGATATTATAAACTAGTTATATTTTCACACTAAATGATTTTCAAATTGAATTAAACTTAGGGAAAATGGCTAACTTGAGACTTTTGTATAAGATGAAAATTCCCTCCAGTGGTTTTTGTGTAATTGCCAGAGGGCTTTAGTTTATTAATTATGATGATGATGATGATGATCATCATCATCATGGAGGGAGAGAAGACGCCACTGAAAAAAAATTCTCTGATGTGGGTGGCAATAACATTTGCTAAACACAAATATCTTTTGGGATGAAAGAGCAGATAGGATGTGTTGTGCTTGCAGTAAGCAGGCAAGTAAGTTCCAACACAGACTGCCTGTGGGAACCTTTGGCTAAGCTTTTTTAAACTAAAGAATTGAATGGGGAATGTCATCCCATGAAATTCAATGGAAAAAACCTCTATTGGTTTCAGTTGCATGGAACTCTATCCTGAATGTGTCATTTAAAAGACACTAATCTTGTGATGCTTTATAAATAAATTTATAGTAACTTAATACACCCTAATACACAATTTTTAGTAAAGCTAATGTTATCCAACTCATTCAATGAAAGAGGAAAGTGTGATAGTAGGTAAAGAATAAAGCTGGAATAACAGTATCTCCAAGGCACCTTTCAATCAAAACTAAAAATGATTGTTTAATTGTAAAGGCAAGTGCAATATAAAGGACAATTACAAAACCATTGGAGTCACAGACCATCTTAGAATATCAGAAAGGCTTTGCAAAGACAATATATAATAGATAGAGATTTCTCTGATTAAAAACCTTTTCAGATTGGATCCATTAAGAAATACAGTGCACATAGCTAGAAGGCACTGATTAAATAGTAAAAGGTTCAAACCAGTATTGTTTGAAATACATTGACCAAACTTATGTTCCAGTTTGGGTATACATTCAGCCCTCACTTTAAGATATCTTCTACCTTAGCAGTGGTCAAAACACACACAGGATCTCCATGATTCACAGTTGGCAATAAAATAATAGATCAATGTTCACATTTTGCTATCCGTTCTCCTCTCAATTGCAGTATCCTAGCACACACGAGATGCCAGTGAAGAGGAAAGAAAGGGTGCAAGACTGTTTGTGGGCAACACATCTTAAGAATTACAGTTACTGCAATGAAAAACTTATTCCACTCAGTCAAACACTTGTATACAAACATATGCCACTCCGTGTGACCCAAATAGGGTTCAGTTGATAGAGAAGCAAGATCTCATGATCTTAAACAAATAAACAGTGATGGAACAGGGATGGAAGCTCCACAACCTCTTTAGGCAACCTGTTTCAGTAACGCACCACTCTCCTAGTGAAGAGCCATCTTTGAAAACACTTCTCGTGAAGAACCATCTCTGGAAACACTCTCTTTGCCATACTAAGACCCATCATCTCAAGATCTATAAAGCTTTCCAGTATAGATTATTATATATTTTGATTGCATTGAATGTTCTACAAGATTTATAGGAATCTGAGGAAAAATGCCTGCACATAGACTATGTTTCAAGTGAAAATCCATACAAAAACGTAGACAGGAACTTGGGATATATCCACAAAGACAACACGAAGCACTAGGTGCCACAAACTCCTGTGATTTTTTCCTGTAAATGATGTCTATTAACACGGCTTTCTTCATAGAAGATGAATAAAAACTTTACCTTATGCTAGGTGCTGGGGTGAGGGGGGTGGGGGAAGGGGGACAAGTCACAAAGGGATATATTTCAATCCTCTCAAAATGCTCATTACTTTACACAAAGCTTTACAGGCAGATCACTGCATTTTAGCTTGAAAAATGGTGCAGAATAGCTGGAACAGACTTGATAGGCAAAAATACACAAGTCTTCCGTTATCAAGACAAACGTTGTCAAGACACTTAACCAGATACTCAGTTTATTTCATGAGGTTCTTCCTGTTCTATTTTTGGCTGCACAGCTAGCCAACGCACAATGTAATGGCATCTAAGAGCCACTGGTCCAATGTAGCATGGGTCCAGACCTGTCTGAACTGAACTACAGAGCTTCCAAAACTTGGAGGCCTCTCTTCACAAACACTGCTTGCCATTTGAGCAGTGATGGATTTTACACAAAGGTTGCTTTCTCCTATTAAATGCTATTGCTTTATCAGTGTTGCTGACAGTTTAAATAAGAAACAAAGTAGGAGCAAGTTGAGAAGACGTCTTGGTAAGAAACGATGTTTGTATGCCTCAGACCAGCTAAATAAATCTCAATAGTACTTTCCTGAAACCTTTTACAGTATGAATGGCCCTTTCTACTAGATGGAGTTGCTCCCTTGTATTACAGATTTCTTGAAGAAAAAATTAAAATCCCGGATATATGATGTTCCGTTCATCTCAGAAACTGTAGCCACTGAATGCAGTATGTCGTGTCCCCAGCACCACCTACAAGAATATTGATAGGTGATTTCATCAATATATTTATGTAGTGTTCCACCATTGCTGAAACTCTTCTGAATTTTATTAGGAATTGCATGGGCTTTGAGGAATCTAAAAGTTCAGGAGTATGACAACTGGAGATTTTTCTTATTAGCCCTTTCCAGACTTGGGAGCATCAGAAAAACTTCAATCTAACATTTTTCAAGGCTAATCTGAAAAGCTACACCTTTACAGTCAAAGATTAGCTCAGATTTATCCAACGAGATGCACTTTGACTGCGAGTAAATAATCTTTCCTACGCAGTAAAGACACATGGAGAATGTATTTTTCAGGAATGTGTCGGTCTACAGGTAAGAAAGAGGTATTCCTTTTATTTGCAGAGGAGACTCCATCACTATGACAAAACTCTGAATTCAAGTCTGTAAACCTTGTGTGAGGCATGGCCTGAAGAAGGTGAAAATTAACTCCTCCTAGGCTAGTGAGAGTTCCATGACTAAGGCTAAACATGCGCTCAATTTCTTTTTCCGCCTCCCAAACAAATAGCACGCGTGAGGAAACCAAAAAATATACACTAAAAG